ATCATTGTACTTCGTTCAGTTACGTATTGTAAACTTATTTCTAAAATTTTAAAAATAATTAATTTATACAGGGTGCTACAAATTTGGGGTACGAGCATTGGTATCGTGTATTGGTAATTGTAATAGATACGAACATGGTTAAAGTGAGACAAAGTTTTGCTCTTTGGGATGTTCACCAAGATGTTATCAAAACAGTTTTTAAAAATTTCAAAATTGCTGAGTTTTTGGAAATGAAGGGATTTTTGAAAAGTCAATTTTATTTTCCTGTGAATTACTTTAAAAGAAACAAATTATACATTCTCACTAGCCACTTTATTAGGGCTATCTGATAATGTTTTTAGACTTGCAAATTAGCTGACAATTTGTGAGATACCAACAATTTCATAGGCCAAATCTGTGATAGACTAACTTAAAAATAAATAAAATTGATTTTCAAAAATTTTTTTTTTTTTTAAAAAAAACTCAGCAATCATGGGGGTACGTCTTTTTGATTGCATCTTGGTAGAACATCCAAAGCGCAACTAATTTAACCAGCAATTAAACCTAATACAGTTATAAAATATCCATATATAATGTTCGTACCTCGAATTTCTAGTACCCTGAATATAGAAACAATAGGAATAGATAAAAATATACAGGGGTATTATTCCCCGAGGGGTATCTCACTTGGGTACAAAATGTGCATGTACTGCCAAAATATCATTTTACAATGGCGACTGCTAATGACTGCGAAGAAGACTGCCACATAATTGTAGTCGACTGCTGTAAGACTGAAGCCAACGACTGGCCAAGAAAATGAACAAATGAACATGTAATTCCAACACTAAGACACCCCTCGGTCTCTACTGTGTGGGCCACCAGGAGTAAGCAATAATTATTTAGAGGATATTGCATTAAAATTTGAACTGTCAAAAATCTGTTGTTTTGTTTTGATTCGGTATTTACTATACACAAATGGTACATAAGAAATAAGTATACGTTAATAATAATATAAAGGTATATCATCATATTTTCTAATACTTAGGTGATTATATGATTGGATTACCAGTTTGTGGTGATGGAAATTCATACAATAAAGAACTTCATGAAACGCTTTGTCTCAGATGGTACATAGCAGCAGCGTCCATGCCTTATTTCCGCATATCTTCAGGTAACTAAACAACCAAGCAGGGGCGGATACAGGAATTTATTTTAGGGGCCCAAAATATAAAATATTAATGTAGAATATGCTTTTTAGGGCGCCATTTTTAACTCAAAAGCATAATATTTAACACAATTTACAAATTTCAGGGGGGGGGCCTCTGTATCCGCCACTGCAACCAAGTTTACAGAATAATAATGTGAAACTTTTAATGACATATTTTTTTTTAGAATTTAGAATGAGTGGGAGGGGGGTTAATCACTTCGACCTTACAGATCCATTGTGTCCCCCTGTCTTGAATCATAACTCATCATACAGTCCCAGGGCTTTTGGCAAAGCCATTATCTGGGACGGTTTTTTATAGAAAGGGAAGCCAGTTCTCCATCTCAATATCAGTCGTGGGCTGCTTTGAATGGTTGTCGTCTCGGCGCGCTCAGTGATGAGGTGTACTGATATTCATCTTCCCAGAATCTGCATTGTAGATTTTCAGCGCTTGGTTTTCAATCTATTGAGGTGTTCATTGAGGAGACAGTGTCCTGTTAAAAACCCCGTGACAATCAGAATATTGTTCTTACTCGAACCCAGGAAGATCTCTGATTTTTCTTGATCATAAGCCCTCAGAAACTGTCGAGTGTTTTTAGACCATTGCAGATTTCCATTCCAGGTTGCGGATGGAATCTTCCGGATGGAAGTTCTTGAGTTCCGCCTTGAGTTGGTTACCACTTGGAAAGCAGAACGTTCTGGTCAGTTATTTGGGTGTTCGCTCCTTTCCTAGCTAGATTATTTGCTTTTTGTTGCCTTCTATCCCTTGGTGAGCAGGCACCCAGTGTAGGAGGACTTTGTTTTCTTTGCCCAATTTATTAAGCTTCTCTATGCATTCTTTGACCAATTTCGAATTGATTGATGCTGGAGTTTAGTCGCGCTTTACTTAAGCTATAGATGAGTAAACTTCTTCTGCTAACTTTGATAGTTCCTCTCAAAAGATAGTTGTACACTTCAATGGCATGGAATTTCCTACCCTGCAGAGATACTAGGGTAAGTGCCCATTGGTTCGGAGTAATTGGCTCTCGGCCCAAACACTCCGATCCCTGTTCCGTATTGGTTTTGGAAGCATCAGTATACCAAGTTATGGTATGGTCTTTTTTAACTGCTACAGACAAGCCCGTTTCGCTCTTCAATCCCTTCTTATTGCTCAATACTACATGACATGTTGTCAAAGTTGTACGTTCTTGGCATATCGTCCACTGGGAGTTGCAGGAGTGGGATTTCCTTTTTTTGAGGGGTGTTCCAAGGCCCTGATCTGACAATTCTACCAGTATTGTTTCCGACACTGACCATTCTAATCATTGTCGCATTGGCATATCTACCAATGACAATGTGCAGTAGTGTTAGATCTAGAATGACCTCCATTGCTGCTGTTGGACAGGTTCTCATGGCTCCTGTGATGCAAACACATGCTAGTCTCTGGACTTTGCATAGGTTTAGCCTTGCCGTCCGTTGCTCTAGTTTTGTGAACCAGGCAACTGCTCCATAAGTAATCATTTTTTTTATCATTACTATCATGGTATAAATCCAGCCCAAAATGTTAGAGGAGCAGCCCCATCTATTTCCGGCCAGTCTTCTGCATATCATGAGAGCCTTTATGGCTTTGCTGGTAGTGTTCTTAATATGCCTGTTCCACAGGAGTTTACTGTCCAGGGTTATTCCCAGGTAATTAACTTCCTGTGTTGGCGTCCTTTTCATCTAGTTGGATTCTTTTCAAGTTTTCGGACTTCGCCTTCTGGTGAATGGCACTATCGCAGTTTTGTCTGAGTTATTACTCAGCCCGACAGTCCTACACCATCTCAGTGATACGGAGTCCTCTTTGGATAATATCACACAAAGTGCCTTCATGTTTCCCCAGAGCGATCATGACTATGTCATCTGCATACCCAATGCAGTGTATTCCCGCTAGAGTTAATTCATCTAGTAGTTCATCCACCACCAAGCTCCACAGCAAAGGGAGGTTACTCCACCTTGTGTGTGGGTTCCTTACTGTTTAACAGCTACAGTTTTGGTGCCCATCTGAGCCTCTGTTGTTCGTGTTGACAGCATTTTCCAAAACCAGCGAATAATAGTTCTGTTCACCCCTCTTGTTTCTAGAGATCGTCTGACCACCTTATGTGGTATATTGTCAAACGCCCCTCCAATGTCCAAGAAGGCACATAGTGCTGTTTCTTTGCTATCCAGACTTGCCTGTATTAGCTCCGTTAATTGGTACAGAGCAGTTTCTGCGGATCTGCCCGTTCTATATGCATGCTGACTATCATGCAGTGGTTTAATCTTTAGATGATTTTCTCCAATATGGTTGTCAACTACTTTTTCCAGCGTTTTTAGTATGAACAATGTGAGACTAATAGGCCTAAATGACTTGGGATTTGTCCAGTCAGTTTTGCCTATTTTGGGTATGAAGATTACTTTTGCTCTTCTCCATGTGGTTGGTATATATCCCATCGCTAGACTGCTTCTTGTAATGCTTAGTAGATGGTGAGTAGCTATTTGCTGACCCTCCTTTAGAAGGGCAGGAAAGATCCCATCCACTCCTGCTGCTTTATAGGGCTGAAAGGTGTCGATCGCCCATTTCAGCTTTTGTTCTCTTATTACTAGCTTGGCCACTGGACGTTAATTTTAATTTATCATTGACATTTTTAGACGATCCATATCGCGATCCGAATAGCTTAAATACGCTGTATACAACAAATGCCGTCACAACGACCATATCAAGGAGAAAATTATTTCAAGAGTATTTTTACACGATACTCAGTAAAAAGGAACCACTTATACGTCCAATGTATTACGATTATTATAGTAATAATGCTACATATTCATTAGAAAGGTATGTATATAATTTTAAATTAGTATAAATCTAAATAAATCTAATAAACGAAGGGAAATATAATACCTTATTAATTTCTAATAAAAGAAGGGAAATTAACAACTATTATATAACTATCTCTAAAACTTTTAAAATTGTTTAGAAATTGATATGTTATGTAAAATCACAGAAAATTAAATAAAAAATAATATATTTCTATATTTGCTAAATACAAACTACACTCACCGGCACGAAAAACGGGCACCTAAAAATTTTGATGTATTTTAAAAATTAATAGATTTTGTTCTATTGGGCCGACTTTGATGATTTTTTAAGCAGTTTGTAGCTGAATTATTTGACTTTTTAGTATCTCTTTCCAAATTCAAATTGAAAGTTTCCATCTGTCAATTATACGAGGTAAAACAAGGTTTGGTGAAAGTTTGAAACATCCCGTGGAATATGTTAACAAAGCAAAGAATTTAAAAATCATTTTATATCACAGTTTATTTTTTTATTCATCTCAATAGCTTTATTTTATTGGAGATATTAGTTTTTGAATAAGACAGTAATGATTTACAGCAATTTTAGCATTGATATTAGGTTCTCATTAATACACTTATAAAATAGTGTTTATTGTTTTTGTAATAGCATTGTCATTGAAAAGTCATACTATTATTGTTTTTTAATGTTTAGTAGAGATGGTTTTAACTTCTAAATTATCGGCTATTGTGTTGCTTTAATTGATCGTGGTACAGATTAACTTTTGAACTGAAGACAATGACATTACATAAATCATAAACACTGTTTTATAGGTCTGTTGACTAGGACCAAAAGCGAAGGCACGGTTTGGTCTTCAAAAGTCAATATGTCAAAAAAAATAAAGCTATTGAGATGAATCCAAAAACAAACTATTGAGAAATGATACACCTAAACGATGAAATGATTTTTAAAGGCCTTGCTCTTTTGACGTACTCCACAGGATGTTTCAAACTTTCATGGAAATGTAGTAGTTTAGGCTTTCGCGGCCATCGTTTGAAGAATTTTGGTTTTTCGGGTTATTAGGCCGTCGTCGGTTAGAATTGCTTCCTAACGTTTCGCTAGCGCGAGTGGCTAGCATCTTCAGAGGTGTGTTTGCTCCGATTGCTCACACTAGACTGATGGTGAGTGTGTCTAGTGTGAGCAATCGGAGCAAACACACCTCTGAAGATGCTAGCCACTCGTGCTAGCGAAACGTTAGGAAGCAATTCTAACCGACGACGGCCTAATAACCCGAAAAACCAAAATTCTTTCATGGAAATATCAACATTTTGTTTTCCCTCGTGTAATTTACAGATGACAACTTTCATTTTTAATTTAGAAAAAGGTACTAAAAAGTCAAATAATTTAGCTACAAATTGCTTAAAATCTCATCAAAATCGGCTAGAACACCAGATATAAACCTTGTGAGTATAAAAATTATTTAAATAGTCCAGTCAATAAGCCAATAATAATCAAAAATCCTAGAATCCAATAACTCCTATAAAGACCTACATTGGAACAAGACCTATGTGTATGGAAGTGATGTTATAACAATAAGACTGAAAAAAGTACTACTTGATACGTTCAGTAATTTTTTATAATTGATTATGATGCCTTCTCTACATACTTTTGTAATATTTCTTTTTTAGTCAATATGCTATTGGTACAGATGTTATAGTTGCTCAACCTCTGACATCGGGTAAATCAAAGCTTCAAGTATATCTGCCCGAAAAGAGAAAGATATGGTATGAATTATGGGGAGGTGCTATGTTTACTCCGGCGAAAAAAGATAATTATTATGTTACTATTGATATTATCGAAACGGATTGGATTGCATTTGTAGCTCAAGGATCTATAGTTGCCCTCACTGTAAGATTTTATCGTTATTTAAGACATCTGCAAACTTAATAAAATTCTGCCATAAAAAATATTAATTATAATTGATGCGGGTAAGGTATAACGACATTCATCATCTATAAAATTTAAAAAAACTTTACTGATGTTAAAAGCACAAAAAATAATGTGCCGTTTACTACACAATTCGATTAATTGCACTTTTGGTAAGTCTTAATTTTCAGTGTAAAACCACTTAGTATATTCATAACTTGTTTTTATTAAGGTGCCCGTTTTTCTTGCGCATCTTTCCAAATATTAGAAAATGGTACCCTCTGATGTTTGGAAGAATGTTATAAATGTAAAAAAAATATAAATATCTCAAGTGGTTTCACACTTAATTTTAAGATTTTTCAAATAGTGGAGTAAATCGAATTGTGTGAACGACTCAAATGCACTGTCAATTTTATTAAAAAAAAAATAACAAAATAAAAACACTAAATCACCACAATACACCAAAACACTTTTACTTGCGAAACGCGCGTCCAGTGTAAAAGTAAAAGTGTTTTGGTGTATTGTGGTGATTTAGTGTTTTTATTTTGCTGTGTAACATCAAAGGTTTCAACCCCCAACTGTAATAAAAAAAAATTTAAACAAACAAAATATTTGGTTACTTAAGCAGTATTTAATTATTAGGGAACAACTAGATGAGATACTTCTTCATAATTGTTTAGATATCATGTAAAAAATAAAAAAAAATATTTTGATTGTACGTGTATTTAAAGGCTGACTTATGTTTTACTGAAGTTATTAGCTGTTTGACTTAAGCTATTTTCAATAATTATTTTGGATTCCTTTTGCATTTTGCTTTTTACGACAATAGAAGATTTATCCATCAAGTGTTTTTTGTTGGTTAGACGAGTGTTTGAAGTGAAATTTCTTTACCCGCGATGGAAGTAAAAATTCAAGGCCGTGACACACGAGCGAGAGAAAAGTGGTAACGGCAGTGTTGCCACAGCCACCCCATTCGGGGTAGATCTACCCCTTCATAAAACAATTTAACCCCTCTATCTCGATGAAAAATAAGCTTGTGGCAACACTGGGTAACGATCTGTGCCATAAGCGGCGCGGTTAAGAAAATCAATATAATAAACTTGATATTGTACCAACCTTGATGTTGTACCTCTGGTTGTGTCCTAGAAGGTAAATTTTCATGCATATTTTCATCGATAGGTTTGAAGCTTCTGAAGCATCTACCATCATTTGCCAGCTCAGAATTAGAATTATTAGAGCTAGTAACTCGCATTTTCATTGGAGGACTGTCATATTTATTTCAAACCAATAATCAACTAGAATATTTGCATAATTTAATAAAATTACTGCAAATCACTATAAATAATGAATAATGAACAAAACATTTAAACAAAAACAGACCACAGACACACAAAACAACTTGTTGGTTAGTAGTAGTCAAAGTAGATTGATTTAGTAGTACATATTTTGGTTTAATGGTCACAGCTGCCAGGGCTATCCGGCCGGTTGATAGAATTATGTTTTTTTGATGAAATGTAAAAACACATTATAAAATTATAAAGCTAGAATAGCTTACGGTTTTATATTAACTCTAATTTTTTTGAAGTTTATAAAAAGCATTCATAAAAAAATATATATCCTTCAAATCCTTTAATGTAATAGTTATTAGTAAGAAGTTTTACTTCAAATATGCGCACATAGTGCACACACTGATTTTTTTGGAAGTAAAAAGCTACTGAGTAGCTGTTTATGTTTGGAACTGACACAGTGGCATATTCTAAACACCAAACTTTGTTTGTTCTGGTTCAGTAGCAATAATGTTGCAGTTTTTTAATTGGTAAAATACTTTCAACATTTTGTAATATTTTATAAAAAATATGGTTTCTATGTCTAAGTTTTATATTAATTCTACTGAACAGTTTTTTCGTAATACAACGGTAACTGATATTCTTTGACATCACGTCGTATAAGTTTGAGGAGGATTGGATATATTTCCTATTGCAAAATACAACACTAATTCATCACAATATACCAAAACACTTTTGCTGCAATGGACGCGATTCACTAACCATGTTTACGTTATCAGCAGGTGATTAAAACGATCGTCCAGTGTTTAAAAAGTATATTGGTGTATGTGGTACTGCGAGAGTGGTGTATTGTGGTACTGCTAATGAGAGTTTTATTTTGCTATTGTGACACCAAAGGTTTTAACCCCCAACTGTAATATTATCTATCACAACTATTTTACAGTTTTTTCACTGTCAAAGTCAAAGCCCGCTCGATCATAAAACTTTTTGGTTGTACGATACTTTAAATTTATCATGTTAACCTCATACTTACTTCTTTCAGGATTCTAATAAAGTTAACTTATACATAGCATTGGACTGCACTAAAGAATGCACCGCAAATGGCGAATTATACAAGGATGATGTGTATATTTCGTTCACCGCCACTAATACAACTGTCACAGTGAATAATTTGCCCAACAGTTGCCAATATACTCTTGGATATCTAAAATATTACGGATATAATACAACCTCTGGATATGCAGGAAGATACGAAAATAATGAAAATTTATGCCCAGGAGGAGGAAGTTCTACAACGATAACTTATATTACTGATTCTAAATAGGATAAAGCATAATTAAGTAAATGTGTTTATGTATTTTTTATTCAATAAAAATATAAATTATTTTTTTAAAATTAATCGTTCTCTGGAGGAGGAATCCATCCACCAAAATGCCTCTCTAATTCCTCTGCCACGGCTATGCATAATCTGTCTTGATATGGAGCTGCTATTACCTAAATTGAAACCAAAAAAGCATCTGATGTTATTGCAGTTCAAATAAAGAAAAAACAAAGATTAATTCAGTAATCTCTAAATTTAAACAATTATGTACACTACTAAATGACTGGATTATTTCCGATTTGATAAATTTTTAGTAAAATCTAGATTAATTTTCAAATTTTAAACAAAAATAACAATGTGATAATGTTTAAAAATATAACATAAAAATAAATAAAAGTCTCACAGACGGTTGATAAATAGCTATTAATATGCTACTATTAACAGGCAAACTATTAACTTCAATAGCAAAATAAAAATTGAATTTGTGCAGCTTTTAGAAAACAAGCTGTCAATCAGAGTTAATGCTGTCCAGCACGACAATTAATTATTCATAAATTAATGAGCGAATTAATGATATGCCACTGAACTAAAAAATTAAACTAAAACTAGTTTTATTGAACCCTAATCGACATTTGATTTCGGAAAATCGACTATACATATATCATACGCAAAATTGCAAAATTTTCAGGTATTTTGTGCTTAAACGGTTCATTTTAGCGAAAATTTTCATAGAACATATTTTATAGGAAATTCTCTTTAATTTTACTCTCTTCAAATTTTTGCGAAACACGCATAGTTTTCGAGATATTTACAAAATACCAATTTTTGGGCGCCGGCGGCAAGTCTGGAAATGTACATTTTATGGATTTTAGTTAGGGACCCCAAAACCTATAAACCTGCAAAGTTTCAAAACTTCCGGATTTTTTTCCAAGCAGGCCCCTTTTTTGATCCCCAATGACTCAACTATAAGTCTCATCCTGTATATTAACCTTCTGTCTAGTCACATCAGAAACTACTACTAATCAACGCTAGTACTTTAGCAGATAACACATACCTGAACACCAATAGGCATACCATCTTTATCAAATCCGCATGGTATACTTGTAGCAGGTAGACCCAGCGCATTAGCAATAATCATGTAAGCATATCCATTTTTTAAAATCGCCTGATTATGCTTGTGCGCTGGTTCGTGAAACGTCGGTAAAATAATGACACCATTATCTTTAAGTTTTTCCTTAAAATTGAAGTAAATATACTCATAAATTACAGTTAAGCGATAAAGAAAAAATGGTATTAGAACTTACCACTATAAACGTTTTTAATTTGGCATTATCTTGACTGTAATCGCCAACAACATATTTAAAAAGAAGTTCGAAGAAATAGAAAACCATGAGATTATGGGTAAATTTTGATCTTCCAAAAAGGGACTTTGTTAATTCTACTATAAATAAACTATTTTCCTAAAATAGAAATTAAATATAGTTAATAAAAAGTATTTTTTTATTGTTATTTAAAATATTATTATATCTTTTTTGCAATAATTAATTTAGAGAAATTTTATGCTATACCTGGTGCGTCTCAAAAGAGGCTCACCCCTATAACTTTTTTATTTTTATAGATTAAAAAACGAGATTTGATATTTTAGTATATGATATAAATTTGGATTGATTGACGTATTCATTTGTTTTTGGTGTCTTCTTGTTTCACCGGAAATTACTACAACTTTTGATTTTTAAATGGCACTGTCGATTTTTTTATTTTATTCGATAAAAAATGACATTCTAATAGAATGACATATCATATGTCAGCTTTTAATATCCTCTCTTAATAAAAAATCGTATTTCAAAATTCAATCTAGAGTATCATGGCGATGTTAAAAATACTAATTCTTAATCAAGGAGCCTTGGAAAAATATATTTGACCATCTAATGTTTTTAGTGTCTTGTCCTGGCCAGTTAGAAAATGCTCAAATCGTATTTTTAATCATATCTCAATTTTTTCAAATGGAACGAGGGTGGCTCATTAGCATATTTGAAAAAAACATTTTTTTATGGATAATTTGATACCACACACTTGATATTTCGTGTCAAATTTTCGTTACGAACCGCAAGTTATAACTTCAGATAAACCATATGCGAAAATGTCAAAAGTTGACATATGATATGTCATTCTATTCAAAGTGTTATTCTATATCGAATAAAGTAAAAAAACCGAGGGTGCATTCTAAAAAAGTTTTAGTCATTTCCGGTGAAACAGGAAGTGACCGAAAATAATTGAATACGTCAATCAATTCTAATTTATGTCATATACTAACATACCAAATCTCGTTTTTTAAACTAAAAAAAAATAAAAAAGTTATAGGGGTGTGCGGTTTTTAAGACGCACGCGGTATAACAAATTATTTTTCTTTATATTTAATCATGCAATTTGGACTAAACAATTCAGAACTCTCGGTATTATTATCAACTTCTTACCCCCTTCAAAACGTTCGGGATATCTTTTAATGAAAATATCGACGATCCACATACAACAGATACATTTTTGAATTCATCAAATTTATAGTCATGTACTTTTGCACCACAGTGACTCTTCAAATGGCTAACGGAGTCCCTCACAGCTGCTTGTATCTCTTTCGACACTCTAGGCAACGTAACATTAAAATTTAGACTTTCCAAGTAGAAAACGTTTAATTTACTTAAGTCAACCTAAAAATAATAAACGTCTAAATTAAAATAGTCATAGAAAATTGCGTATTAGTATTCGTTACGTGTTCATATAAATTTAATTCTGATCCTATTCGGCTACCACACATTGCGTTCATGATCAATTTAAAATCGCAGGCATATCTTACTAATGGTCCAATTACTAAAAAATCGTAGTATTTCTCATCATGTCCGATTGGAAAATGACCTTTGAGAGGAACTGTTCCTGAAATATTAAAAATTTTGCCTTATGACTTTTATATTTCAGTTTTCAATCTTACTAGGTGTAGGTTTGTGACCAAAAACCCCATTAAAAGCTGCTGGTAATCTCACAGAACCTGCTATGTCTGATCCTATACCTATTAGTGAAGCACAGGCACCGAGAAGTGCCCCCTGAAAATAACTTTAATCATACAAAAAGCTAATGTATGGTTTCATTAAGTAAAACTTAGTGACCCACTACGAATTGATTTATGAAAAGATTTATCAAATAATATATTTGCATGATACATTATTTAATAACTGGTCACTAGCTTCAGAGAACTTTATTTCCATCTTACTAGTAAGTATAATACATTCCTAGTGAACATCTTTTTAATGTCTTCTTTTATATTTTTAATATTTCTTAGAAGAAAAAGATGCAATGTGATGAGAATTTTGCTTTTTTTTTAAATGTTAAGTTCTATTTCTAATAGGTTAAGATATATGGTATTTGGTCAAGTTGGCATATACAGAGAAGACCAGGCTACTAGTAACATAGCAAGTTGCCGGACGAATTTACGTTTACCCGATTGGCGTTCCTACTAGAGATTCACAGAAGTGTCTAGACCTAGATGCAACTATTAAGCTTGACCAATCAGGTTGATTAGCGTAGTTATTTGGAGTGAGTTAATTCATTGGTTTTTGTCAAAAACTCTGACGTGATTGGTCGGGCTTAATAGTTGCCTGCTAGGACTAGACACAAGTGAGATTCACTGCCGGCTAGTCGGCTGGTCAGGCAGTACGCAGTTGCAGTTGTGCTTGGACGGGTCGGTCGTGACAGACTAGGAATACGACGCGAGGAGTGCCGAGTATTTATTATTTTCATTTTACCTTCATTTAAGGTAACATTAAAAATAAAAATACTTAAATATTTATTATTTGAGTGTGTTTACAAGCCAAAATTAAAAATAAATAAATTCTCTAAACCCGAAAAAAACTAAAATATTACTCTAAATAAAAAAAAAGTTATAACAAGTGTTCAAAAAGACCACCTTCTTGTGCTAGACAGAAGCCTAGGCGGTCGTGAAATCCCCGTCTGACATTGGCTAACATATTAGGGCTAATAGTTTGGAAAGCCTCTCATATTTTTACTTGAAGCTCATTTAGATTATTAGCCCTATTATGACCATACACTTTGGATTTTACATAACCCTACAAAAAGAAATCATTGGGAGAAAAATCTGGTGATCTAGCGGGCCACAAAATAGTTCCATATCCACTAATTAAACGGTTGGGAAAAGTATTGTTCAAATATTCATCATTAATCAACACATCAGGCATTTTGTGTTTTTGTGCGGACACGCACCCATGTGTTTCAAAATTATTAATAACTCTTGATGTAGTAGGTAAAGATGGAATTGCCTGTTTACAAAAGTTTGTGGAAAAATTGTTTGTATATCCCGATAAGACCTATATTGGAAATACCATTTTACAATTTACAATTTGAATTTTCTCACGAACTTCGTAAATATCCATTATTTTACTTAAAAAATAAATTTTACACGAGAGCTGTAGCGAGAATCTATGTATTCGTTTTGACTATTAAAACACGAATAAATACAAATTCCGTAACATTCTTATCACATATCTACTTATTTTTATTTTATCGCATTTTTTCGCCTGCTTTTTATCCGGCGGACGGGTATACGCTAATTCGTCCGGTTCTGCCTATGTTACTACTACGGTGATCCGGTCTGTATAAGCTGTTAAATGTCACACCTATCCATAATATAACTACATTTTTGGAAAATAACATACCTAATCACTTTTTTATGTATTGTCTTATTTTAAAAATATTTCTAATTGGTTCTAAGGTAGACATAGTTGGAAGTTGAACTTACGTCCAACAAGAACTAATAACTTTTAAGAAGCTATATAGCTTATATAAGAAGCTATAATTTTTTTTAAGAAGCTGTTGTATAGCTAAACAAGTAAATAAAGTGTAACAAGGCTGCACTGAGTGACATTTATTTTTGTTGCAAAAATACTTTAACTGTCTGACAAGTTGACCAGCTGATTTTCAAAGTATGTCTCAACCGTTGATTAGAAAAATAAGAAGATGCGCAAACCTTATGGAAGATTTTCGTTGTACAAAATATGTCCAAGATATAGGTGGTGTTACCGTTATATGTCCAAGATCAAGTTTAGTTCTGCTCCGCTGTGCGCTGATGTCGTCTACAGCGCAGCAAATAAAGAATATTGTAGCGTAGTTCTGCTTTTAGTCGACAGACTGGCTGGTTGACCAAGACAGTGTTGCCAGAACTACGGATTAATCTGTAGATTTATGTATTTTGAGTACAGTATGTTAATAATACGGATTTTGTGTATCATTAAACAATTTAATATAGTATTATATGATTATACAAAGGCGTCAGAATAGGCTTGGAAATGAAGATCGGTGCTATTTCATATGTAAAATATTATGCAAAATGTTGATCATATGAAATATTCAATACCTATTAAAGAATTTTTATTTTTGTTGTTTATTCTATGTTTAACACGAATACATTTTCAATACATAAAAGCGGATTGTTCATCCAAAGATATTTTCGTCAAATACATTACAGATATTACACATTTTAATATGGCAACACTGTCACTTTCAGTTCCACACCTTGTCACAGCCTTGTTCGATATGCCTTCGTTAGCCGAATTAGAGAAAATGAGTGTTTTATGCGTTGGTCGCAGAACAAGCAAAGGCTCCACCGTACACCACTTGAGACGTAAGAGGAAATCAAATCAGCCTTGCCACGAATTCGCCCATTAGGTTGCGTATCTTCCCAATTCTTCAATCAATGCTTCAACATTAAGCTCCATTAAAAAGGGCCTAACCAAATCAAGCATAAAATAAAATACCTATAATATATAAGAATTTTGAAATTTAAAAAAACGTCAATATTTTATATTAATAATATATTCGATTGTTTTTTTTCGTAATTTGTAATGTTCCCTTATATTAAAAAATAATGATAATTACTGTATGCTGCCACCCTATATAGTCATTTATCACATTATTTATTTTTTTTGATGAAACTAAAAATTAATTTCAGATTGATAATATATCTCTAACATTTTTTTTTTGTATTATATATTCTAACAAAACATTAAACCATCTTTATTATATACTTTTGTATTTTGGTGTTTCAATAACATGTGTATTTAAAGTAACATCTGGTGTAAGCAACATAACGATTAGTACCTATGTTTAATTAATACATTAGAATCTATTTATACTGTTTTGCTTTAAGGTGAAACTAATTTTACATTAATTATCTATTTATTTTAATTTAATTGCATATATGGATATATATTATATATTAATGTTAAAATTATTGGAGCAGTAAAGAACAGTATCGTAAGCAACAACACTGTCAATGTAATTATTATTTTTAAACAATATAAAAAGTTTTTACCATATTTTAGTGACAAACTACATATATTATAGGTACTTTGTACCGGTGTATTGCCTATTAAATTAATTAAATACTTTATTAATAAAATTATAATCATTAAAATGTATAAATTTTCATAGAAATAAAGGAAAAAAAGATAGCAAATTAAATCGTTTTTTATTTATTCAATTCGTCTCTTAGACATCTTAGACAACTCTTAAGAATAAAATGGTTCCATCATGTCTCAAACGTGTCGGTCCTTGAAAAAGCTAACTGCGAGTGTATTGAAGTCATGATTACAAAGTCCCGCTTAAGATGGGCTGGTCACTATGCAGAATGCAAGAAAACCGCATATCAAAATCTCTGCTTTACGGTGAGCTTGTAGACGGTAAGAGGAAGCCGGGTGGACAACTCAAAAGGTACAAGGATATTTTCCACGAAAACTTAAAGGGAATTAACAAGCAGAATGAGTGGGAAGAAGGAGCTCACAATAGAACGGAATGGAGAAGAATTGTAAAGTCGACAACCAAAAAGTAAAGAGGCAACAAAGCAATGAGATTTTTGAATGTCTGGAGTGCGGTAGACAGATAACATCACCTATCGGGCTTTTTAGTCACAGAAAAGCACATGAAAGAAAACGCCTTGCGTGACCATCTTCTGATGGGTGTCAAATACTCATCAGCGAGTAATGGCAGTATGTATGTATGTATGCAATTCGTCTAGATACATTCATTTTATTTAGACAAAAGCAGGTATATGTTATTATAGGTATATATATATATATATATATATATATATATATATATATATATATATATATATATATATATATATATATATATATATATATATATTAGGTATGTTTATTTTCAAGTTATTGAAGTAAATATTCAGCAAAATAAAACACTAGGTAGTTCACCAATACGCAAAAAAACTTTACTTTTAAACACTAAATGTTACAGTGTTTAAAAGTAAAGTCTTTTGCTGTATTGAGCTGAATTGTTGTTTTATTTTCCTGTTGTAACACCCAGATTCCAAAATATTTCAACCCTCAATTGTAATAACTAATATTCAGTAAACTTACTTCACCTCCAGATGATCCTCCAGAAGTACATGTGGTATCGTAGGGATTATTAGTGTAACCATTTACATGATTATAGCATTCCCAAGCCATAGCCATTTCAGGTGCAGCGGATACTAAAAGTACGATTCCTCCACTACTTCTTATCTTTGCTACAGCTTCTCCGTCAGTTTCGGCTTTAAATCCTTTCCTAGATTGGAGCCCAACGCACAAACTTAGATCTAAAAGCACATTATGTATGTAGTTTTTAGAAATGCTATTAGAAATTCTTATATTAGTATACCACGTTATTGATATAACGTATGTCGGATAAAAGTTTATGACATTTAAAAATCGGGTAGTAAAGTCGGTACGATATCAATATATCGTATTGTCTTTTGAATTTTTAAAAATTAAGAAACAATTTTTGATAGTTTAATAACATTATATTTAAATAACATCTATACCTATGTGGCGGGTTCATTTCTTGAAAAAGAGCCTAGGATTTTCGCCGCTGGAAGAGAAATCTGCAAAAAACTTAAATTTTTGTGGAAGCACTGCTACTTAAGCCGGGTCCACATATGTAGCACTCTATTGTATCAGGATCATGTATAACGTATCAAGAGCTTGTATCGTAAGTATGGACGTTTATTTGGGCTGTGTCGACTGAATATGCATATCGTGCCAAAGTAAGCGTCCATACTTATAAAATTCATACGTACCAACGTACAAGCGTGCGTATCATTGTATATGGACGGTACAACAAATCACCTTGTATCGTCGTATCATGTTCATCAATTCTTGTCCAGCGAACCCTCAATGCCTTTGATGATCGGAGAAAAACCGCACAAGACGGGTCACGGCGTATCAAGTCAATTGTATCGTTATACTGTATCAAAACACGTCCAAATGACAGATCGTGATACGTGTATCTGATACGCAGTGTTAAGATACGCGCCAAAATTCGGATTGGCATGTATCAGATACGGTATCACAAAGGTGTACCATATGATCGCGTTAATTCGGCGTCCAAACCAGCGATCATGAAACATGTTGGTGCAACGCGATGGAGATATGATACACGAAGATGCTACATATGTGGACCCGGCTTTACATTGAATCCAAACGGACCAGCTTTACAAAGCCGGGTCCACATATGTAGCACTCTATTGTATCAGGATCATGTATCACGTATCAAGAGCTTGTATCGTAAGTATGGACGTTTATTTGGGCTCTGTCGACTGAATATGCATATCGTGCCAAAGTAAGCGTCCATACTTATAAAATTCATACGTATCAGCGTACAAGCGTGCGTATCAGTGTATGTGGACGGTACAACCCATCACCTTGTATCGTCGTATCATGTTCATCAATATTTTCATTTATATTATCAGGACGGTCAGTACAGTGTCAGCTGTGATTGAATCATGTCATCGTCCGTGACTGCATACGAGAGTTTGTCGTTGTTCATCCCAAGCATCTTTTTTTAATAATCTATTGTAGTAATCCTGTTGGTGGGATTCACAAAACTTCTTTTCTCTTTGTACGCATCAATCCGGTTTTAATACACTTTCACGTTATCCCAACTCATAGTAAAGCGTGTACACTCAGTGCATGGTGGTTACCAAATGGCAATCGACATCAATCGCGTCCGAACTTGTCAGCAGACCCTCGATGCCTTTGATGATCGGAGAAAAACCGCCTCAAGACGGGTCACGGCGTATCAAGTCAATTGTATCGTTATACTGTATCAAAACACGTCCAAATGACAGACCGTGATACGTGTATCCGATACCGCAGTGTTAAGATACGCTCCAAAATTCCGGATTGGCATGTATCCAGATACGGTATCACAAAAGGTGTACCATATGATCGCGTTAATTCGGCGTCAAACTCGCGATCATGATACATGTTGGTGCAACGCGACGGAGATATGATACACAAGATGCTACATATGTAGACCCGGCCTAGCGGCTTTTTACTAGTACAACAAATTTGCCTAACCACTAAAATGCTTATCGTTCCAGATTTTCTAATTATTGCTTCTTTGATTATTTATATACTTCCTTTTTATCTTTTTTATCTTTTTTTATCTTTTTTCTTTTCTATTTTTTACCTTTTTTTTTATTTAACACTACATGACATAAATAAACATAATATAACTGAAAATTATAAAACAAATAAGAAATGATATACAGAAGTATTCTTATTCAAGGTAAGTAATTTTAACAGATCGTCAATAGTTTATAGTAAACGGTATCTGCTGAAAACTAAAAGTATTCTGTGAATTGTTAATATTTGTACTTAAACATGTTTATTTTATTTAATAATATTTTTCAAGATATATTTTCCTTTCTCTTTTTTTCATTTTTTGCTTCTGACGACGGGAAGAGATATATCTCCTGAAACGTTAAGCATTTTGTAATAATATTAAGGTAAGGCAAATTTGTTTACATGGTTATTGCCAAGCTCGCTGGTGTTTGAGTTCGACACTGGTGTTTTGAAAAAATAACTTTTTATTTTTGAGATTTCTCTTCTAGGAGCGAAAAACTTTTGGAGATATATAATGCTTGAGTCAGCAGGTATCGTTAAATTTCCGTTTCAACATGACATTCTGTGATGGAAAACAAAACTTACAATAATATTGACAGTTATTATTAATAAAACTAGTTAGAGTCTAAGAATTTAAAAAAAAGTGTTGATACATTTACACCCTCTTCACTATGCCGAAAAAGCAGTCCGAAGAGAGTCCAAAGCAGATCAAGGTCGTATTTTCTTGTCTAATTTTGTCTTGTCTCGGCTTATCTACGGTTGTCTCCGCTTGAATTGGCCTATTTTCATTTCTTAGAAAGGCCTCGAAACTACTCGTAACAATTATTTCCTTCACTACGCGTGGAGAGATTTTTTTGACTACTTTCGGTTGTCTCTTTTTATCTCGTTTAATTTCGTTTTGTCTCGAGCTACTTCCACGACGCCGTGCCGGCTTCTAAACCCGAGACAAAGGATTTTGTTTCATAAATCTCAGTGAAATAAGTAAACCTAGACATTTCTAAAATGTATGTTGTTACAATGATAATTTGTTAATCACACCTCGTTTTATGTTGATATATAAATATTCCACAATACTAATATTTGAACACGCGTTTATAATATATATATATATATATATATAATATATATATATATATATATATATATATATATATATATATATATATATATATATATATATATATATATATATATATATATAGTAGATATTCAAGAACAACTCTTTTCACATAATCTGCAGGTAATTGCAATACTTTTATTATTTAATTTTATTATAATGAATTAGTAGATATATGTATATAAAATTGTATATGTTATATTTGTTTATGGCTTTAATTGATTAATATAACAATTACATTGCTTGGTGAGCAATACTGGTAACATCATCAATATGTCGAGATGATTACGAAAAGGATTGATTGACCCGATGCCAACAAAAGAAAATATTTTATAACAAAGCAAAAGTATTTCGAGAAATGCTTCAGAAAATGTTTCCAGAATCACGAAAAGAATGTTTTTATTACGAAATATTTCCAGTAACATTTCGGGCATAGTGTAGATGGTTTTTTATACATGCTTATACTATGAAATTAACTTTTATTTACATCTTGTGCATAACATACTATTTTTAAAATCGTGTATTTTATAAGTAGAGAGAGTACTAGTTGCATATTACCAGTTTTTTAAATGAGTATAAAATATTAAATCGACAAATGTATAAGAATTAAGTTGCCTTAAACATTACCGACAACAAACAATAGACAGATTTTTGAATTATGGCTACCATGTTATCAGAAATAATAGGTAATTTAAATAATTACCTACTATTTATTTAGATTCTTTAGACAATTACATAATTATATATCGATCGTAAATTTGAAGGAAATGCTTAATATCACGAATGTGTTTGGATCAAGTGTAATATAATGGCAAGAAAGACTGTAATCACCTTATTCGTAGTAACTTTCACATTTTCCATAAAATTACTGCTATTTTTAAGGAAATTAAAATTAACGCACCACTTATACAATGAAGCACCATTTTTGTTTCAATCGACTATTATATTAGATACTCTCCTACTTTAGTTTATAGCTATTAAATGTTCATATTTAATTATTTACATATATGTCTAAAATTATGGTACCGGGTAGTGCATCGTCGGACGGGACATAGGAATTAATGGGGTCAATTATTGGCTTCCCTAATTATTTTAGAGAATAATTCTATTTAGGTTTATTGAAGAGCAGCACTAAAACCCACATTCAAAAGAATAACTTTACATATTTTTGATTAGCCCGTTTACGAGTTATCGCCGATTTCTTTTTAAATATTTCTCCTTTCTTATGGCCCTGTATTTACTTATGAGCACCAGTCAAGGTAAAAGATAACTGTCAAATGAAGTTGTCATTTCAGAAATTTATCTATTTAGTACTTTATTATTATTATTAAAAACTCATACCTACATCGAAAATATTAACCATGAATTACACTACCGAAGAAAACGAATTGATGATTAAATGGTATTATCAAGGAAATAGTTATCAAAAGGTGTCGGACATGTTTGCTGCTCGCCGTTTCATGAAATGGATATCCATTTCACGAACTGGTTGGGTTAGGTTAGTTTAGGTTCGCAAACTGGTTAGGTTTCAGTTCGCGAAGTGGATATCCATTTCATAAAACGGACAATTACACTAAGTGGGTGCGACATATCCATTAGAGATAGATGTCATCGAATACATGTCTATTAAAAAGTAGTGATGTGTGTTTTGATCACTATGTAATATGTGTTCTTATGTCATAAGCAAAGGGCTGGAGGATTTTAAGGCACTCTTCAATATATTCGAGATAAATTTATTTCGTTCGTCTTTCCGGCTACATATCGGAGTCGGGGATTTGACACTTGAAAGACAACAGACTCACTACGCACGCGTAACACGACACATAATCAAAACTGGTTCCGAAAAACTAACATTTTATTTATTAGTGGTATTGAACATTGTTTTTATTCTGCTGCTTGGCTGCCGCCCATCAATTTAAAAAGAAATGCTCCTTTTAAAAATGTATCATGAAAATATATAAAAATCTGACTTAAGCCTTTTACAAAAAAATTTTTTAATGACTTAATTGTTTTATAAAAAGACTTAAATCTTTTTAATGACTTAAGTCTTTTCTAAAAAGACTTAAATCTCTTTCTATTTGGGAATAAAGATTTAAATCACAAGTCATTTGAAAACGACTTAAACTTTAAATCTGTCAGCTCTCGAAAAACGACTTAAAATCAAATGATTTAAGTAAAAAAAAAGACTTAAGTTTTCTGTGAGCTTGCAGCTCTGTGTATGATCCACCAGATCAAAAGCATTACTGAGGTCCATAAAAAGACCGATGTACTTCGAGCGGTCATTCAGTTTGTCCTACAAATTATAGAGAAATTCGCAAATTGCAGTATGAGTAGATGACCTTCGCAAAAACCATGTTGAAATAAACTTAATATGTTATATTTCCGAAGAAAATCCATAAATTGTCTATGAAATAATTTTTCTATTATTTTCGAAATTGTTCGTAAAATTGCTATGGGTCTATAATTTTCAACATTAAGGGGATCAAATATTTTTAAAAATGGAACTATTTTAGAGATTTTCAAAATTTCAGGAAAAATAGTTATTTCAAATTCAAATGACCAATTTATCAGATAAGTCAACGGAATTAGTAATAGATCGGCAACTCGTTTTAACACTACAAACGAAATACAATCAAGACCCGCGGAGTTTGAGTTTTTTCTCATTATAATAACTTATTTTTATAACTATATCCATTATTTCTAATTAATTGACCGGTCTCAATATTATTGTTCTATGTTCTATGCCTCTGACTCGCCTGATGTCGAGGTATTATATTGATTATTATATTGTTAATGGAATACTTTTTGGCAAATCGTTGAAATAATGGTTTAAATAATTTGCAATTTCATATTGATCATTTAACATCAAGCCCTCTTCATCATTATCAGTATCAGTATAAAAATTATTAATTTTAAAATCCCCATATGCAATAAACATAACCAACCTTTAACAGAACAGCATTCTTTGACTGTTATTGGAACACCCAAAAGAGGTTTTATTTTCTCCAATTCCCTGATCGACAAAGATGTGGTTTTCAAATATCCGTCTACGTTTTTAGCTTCTCTCATTGCATATCTGAATCTTTCTTCTACAACCGCGTTCAAAATTGGATTGACTTCTTTTATTCTATCGATATAAACCTGACATATTTCTTCACTGGAGATCTAAAATTAAGGTACAATTTAGTAATTTATTTTGTATTAATAATTTGACTCTATCAATATTAAATAATTTAGCTTTTCAGATGTAACTAACGAAAGGACAAACACAACTTTAACAATTTGACTCGGCGATGTCGAATTGTGTTAGTGAGATATTAAGGCACACTTGATGGCACACTGGGGGCAAAGACGAAATCCGCACAAAAATAGTGTTAAGAAATAAACCACTACAGCAAATATCGCACTTCAGCTTCTTTGGATGCGACGTAACCTATGATAAAGATAATGACTAAATGAAAAAAAAATAAAAAATTTAAAAGCAAAGCACGGCTAGAAACGCAAGTAAGCCTAATACATTAGCGGTACCGATAGTATTATATGGAAGTGAAGCCTGGACTACTACAAAAGTTAAAGAACAAAGACTTAGAACAACGAAGATGACATTCTTACGAAAAATAAAAGGAATAAGTAGAGAAGATAAAATAATAAATGACACAATAAGAAATGAACTAAAAATACAACCATTAGAATAAAAAGAAAAAGTATATAAAAACAAATGGAAGAAACGTATGTAAAAACAACAAAAAAAGTATATAAAAACAAATGAAAGAATGACAGATGATATAATTTCACATAAAATGCTACGATATCAATCTATGATAGAATATAGATATGGTGAAGCGAAACAGGTTTTTAAACCTAAACCGAAAAAGGATACGACGACGACGGACAATATATTAAGGATCTCGCGCCAAACGATGGAAAAGAGGATATTCTTCGGCCGCTCTAATATAAAGCTAAAGTTTTCTTGCAGCTTTAGTATAAATTGCTAAATACAAAATTCTTGCATTGAGAGATGTTGTTGGAGTACCAACCTCTGGACAGCCCACCTGATGAAGGGTAGGCCCAGAAACCGGTCGGAGGGAGTTGGAGTTGGTTCCTCTCTTAACGATAAATATAACTCTAACTAATCATCACTTGTTTTTGGTCACTTCCTGTTTCACTGAAAATGACTACAACTTTTGATATTTAAATGGCACCCTCGGTATATTTCTACTTTAATCGATAGAAAATGACACTTTGAATAGAATGACATATCATATGTGAACTTTTGACATTTTCGCATATGGTTTATTTGAAATTGTAACATGCGGTTTATAACGACAATTTGACTTGAATTGTGTAATAATTATTTATAAAAAAATGTTTTTTTTTTCCAAATAAGCTTATGAGCCACCCTTTTTCCATTTGAAAAAATTGAAATATGATTAAAAATTCCATTTGGGTATCTTTTAACCGGTCAGGAAAAGACAGGAAAAACATTGAACCATCAACACTATTTTTCCAAGGCTCCTTGATTAAAAATTTGTGTTTTGAACACATCCATTATAGTCTAAGAGCTAGCAACGTTTTCGAGAAAGTATTTTAAGACATCTGGCTCTTTGATATATCTTTTACTATGCTCTCTGGAACAGCATGTTGCCCGTCTGGCTGCCGAGACCCGTTGCATTTACTACTGCGCATCGGAAGAAGATCCTATATTTTTTATTAATTTAGTCCTATAAATTCTAGTATTGAATATAAATCGAACATGTCTCCATAGCGCAGTGCGTAGAGATTCTGACCACGAACCGATGATTCAGAGTTCGAATACGGGTCAGGTCAAAGACTTTTTTATTTTATTTCCGTTTATATTCTGTTAGTAAAGTATTAAATAATTCTGGTAATTAAAGAAAAACAAATATTTAATACTTTACTATCAGAATATAAACGAAAATAAAATAAAAAAGTATTTGTCCTGACCCAGATTCGAACTTTGAATCATCGGTTCGTGGTCGGAAACTCTACGCACTGCGCCATGGAGACATGTTCGATTTATATTCAATACTAGAAATTAAAGGAGTAATAAAGATATAGGATCATCTTTTAATGCGCAGTAGGGAACGCAACGTTTACCGGCAGCCAGACGGGCCGCATGCTATTCTAGAGAGCATAGTAAAAGATATATCAAAGAGCCAGATGTCTTAAAATACTTGTTTTACCGACCTTGCTAGCTCTCGTACTATTAGCCATTACTCTAGATTGAAATTTAAAATACCTATTATTTGTTTTTAAGCGAAAATGTACAAAAGTTGACATATGATATGTCATTCTATTCAGTGAGTGTCATTTTCTATAGAATAAAGTAGAACATTTCTACTTTATTATTTATTACCTCGGTATATACCCAGGATGCCAATTAAAAATCAAAAGTAGTCATTTCCTGTAAAACAGATGATCAAAAACACATGAATCCGTCAATCAATCCTAATTTATATCATATACTAACATACCAAATCTCGTTTTTTATCTGAAAAATTAAAAAAGTTATAGGAGTGAGCCATTTTGGAGACGTACCCGGTATACTTAGTTATATACAGGGTATCCAATATTATACATAAAATTTTTGCAAGCATTTTTGGGCTGCTATATTTCGACCCCCGAATCTTTCGCAAAAAAAAAAGATTTTGTATTGAACTTTTTGAATTTATATTTTTTTTCTTGAATTTTTCTAATTTTGAATTAAAAAGGATAACATTTTTGTAATATATGACAACATAGATAGATTAAATTTACGGAAACAAAAAAGGCATAAAAAATCCAGCGGTTTTTAAAATTTAAACAAAATAGTTATTTGTGTAACAAGTGGAAAAAGGACATACTTGTTGCACGACGCATGGATTTTGCAGACGGAGACAAAGTTGAGAGCTGCAATCATGCTGAGTGCAACAAATATGCTTTTTGCACTTGTTGCACACAACATTTTTCTACGATAGAATTGAAACTCTTATTTAAATGTTTATTAAAGAGTTTTTATAGTAATTCATAGAATAATATTACCACTCACAATGACACTTTTATTTTTTTATAACTTTTTTTGAGTTCATTTCAATTTTAATGTCGCAGGTTGAAAAAATAATTGATGGATAAACTTCATTTCCAGTAGTCTTTTGAATTTCATTTTGGTTTTTGCTTGTGGAGGTTTCGGGTTCTTTCTCTTAACTTAAAACTCTTTTTTGGAATGTTGCTGCGAGGTGTCCAGAACTGGTACTTGGTTTATCTTCCAGGATTTAACAAATTTTTACAAACATTTACAGTTTTTTTTCTTTGGAAGTCGTCATTACTAATATCAAGGTGTTTTTTGCACTAGTGCAAAAGATAAGTTACTTTTTGCACTGGTGTAAAAAAATTGACTTTTAATACGGTAGATTGTGTAAAAAATAGCTACTCTTCGTAGAAGAAAAAAATTATTTTTGAAACCTTCAAAGTAAAATAACTCGATTATTTTGAACTTATTTGAAAAATGGCAAAGAGAAAATATGTTTATTTTACCAAGATCTATCAGCCCTGAAAATATTTGCACTAATTTAAGACTCACCCTGTATGCGGTGCGTCTTAAGTTATAGGGGGTAGCTCACCCCTACACCTTTTTTAATTTTTCAGATAAAAAAAACAGATTTAGTATATTAGTATATGATATAAATTAGGAGTGATTGACGTATTGAATTGTTTTTGGTCACTTCGTGTTTTACCGGAAATGACTACAACTTTTGATTTTTAAATGACATCCTCGGTATTTTTTTAATTTATTTGAATTTTTGTACGTACTAGAGACTCGCCCTGTATAATCAATTATTATACTAAAAACTATTTTGTGTTAACAAAGAAAGGACTGCATAGCATTTACAAGGCTACTTAATACATACCTCCTTATTTCGAATTTTCTTCGCCAACTCTGTAGCACTAATCCTCAACAGATCACTTTTTAACGGTGGCAAAAATTTCCGCGCGCCTTTCGATCGATATTTGAATATCGGCGTCGTTAAAAAATCGAAAAATCGCATCAACAAAAACAATATCGACAGTATTATCTCCATTTTCACTGCAATACCGGTCTAAGAAGAAAGCCGATTCTTTTTCAACGCAAGATGTTACACCGAGCTCACCCAACTAACCTCATTTCGACTATTACCAGTTTTAATTACTATTATAAAAATATTGTTAGATAAATATTACTCGGAAAAAGAAGGCGCAACACTGATAAAATATCGTTAGTACTTTTAAAAATATGAGTGAGCGCGTTTTTGACTTTGACCGTTTAATGTGTTTGGATTGTATGTAATGTGTGCGAAAAACTGGTATAGTTGTTGAAAAAAATTGAGCGTCAACGTTTGGTTTACCTTCAACTAAACCAACTTTTTTATGTTTGCTACACTTTGAACTTATACGGAGACGTTAAAAGTAGGCGAAAAAATACGGAAAATGTTATAATAACTTAGCGCCAAGGTGCTTACTACTTGTGTTGGAAAAATACTGATTTCGTGATAGACGAATCAAAATATTCCGCTACAAGAACGAAGACTTAGAAAACTTGTTTATAATATACAATGCATATTACATTAAAGATAGATTTTATTTGTTTAACTTAAAGGTGTTGTGTATTTTAATACAGGTTTAGGCCAATTTTATAATACAGAATAACCAGTTTTAAAGTTACTGCTGAGATGCAACTACTTCTTATGTCTGGTTGTCATAATTACATTATTCAATATTATTATATTAATAATAACGGCGACTGGTTACATCCACCTACTACTATGTAAAACGGTATGGACCTACCCAAGTAGCAAAAAGAAGTTCTAAAAGGATTGAATTATTTTATAACAGTCGAATAGCGTTGTCTTAAGGACTGCTTGATTTTATTAAGCGTTTGGTTTCGACCATTCTGTTTTTTAATAAAAGTTGTCATATTAAACTATTTTCTAGTGATTTTTACAACGTATCTTATAACGAATTAAACGATAATTTCTTTTAGTATGATATAAAACTTAATAAGACAATGCTATATGATAACAAACATATTATTTTATTAGACTCTTATACCCACCATGTAAAAGTTCTATAATATTCATATAACTAGTAGTCACAAGATCATATAATAGTTACTTAAACTTGTCTTATTAAAGTTGTATTACGTTGTATGATAGAATGTTTTATTGCGTTAACTACGGTGCTGTATACAACACTAGTTATATAGCTTTATATGATAAAATTGTGATTAACAAAATAAATTCGCTGTCATATCTGCATTATAAAACTGGTAATGTATAATATAACCTCATTTTAAATTAAATGGTATACGTAGTTATTTATTTTGTTATTGTTGTTGTTGCAAAAGTAATATCTACGTACGAGTATAATCACATCACAGCTATTATGAATTCTGGACAAAGTTGGAAAAAGTTAACATACGCAGTGGTAGTTATAAAGAGCATGTAAGAAAACAATAATGGCAAATAATCCCGAGAATTCCGTGGGTTCCCAAAAGCCAAAATCTCTCGGGTTGTCTGGTTTCTTCAAAGCATTGTTGCCACGTTGATGTAAAAGTTTTACTGTAGTAATGTTTGTATTGTTTTATTGTTGTTTTTCCAAGTCCTTAGGTTGCCGCTCACTCGTCGGGCATGCATGAAATGCATTGCGTGCATGAATCCATGAAAACCTGATCATGTTTGTTAGTTTAAATACTAATCCAATGAGATTTGGCAACATCCATTTGTCACAAATCTCAATATGTCAAAAATAGTTCTATAGTACCTGGAAATTCTGCGTAATGATAGATATTTTTCTTATACCGTTTTATTTTACAACAAAGACTTATTTAAGGGATTCATTTATAATAAAATGGTTGCATTATAATTCGCCATGTTTAAGGCAGAATTTTTGTATGGCCTATGGCCGCCATTATATGAAGCAAAATTAAAAACATCAAAATAAATTGTAAAATGTTTTTTTTGAGAACTATTTTTGTGATAAGATTCCCACTTGATATAGTAATAAACTGTTTAATTAAATTAAAAACAAGAATTTTTGAAAATTTTATTTTATTTTATTGTTTAAATTTATACGTAAACCTAAATCGAAATTAATGCGCTTTAATTTTTTGCCAAATACATACCTATAATCTACCAGTAAAATTTTCGGCGCAACAACAATTGTCCCTAATTTTCAAACCCTATTAATGATTTTTTATATTACATATTTGTTGTACCTTCTGGCTCTACCCGCCATTTTCACCCTCGAGTAAAGTCTCCTTTTTAACAATCCACATCCTCTAGATTCATTTTACGACACGCTTAAAATATAATTTGCTCCTAATATTCTTTGGTAAAAAATAAAATACTCATTTACCTCGCTAAATGATCAAATGTTTTTATTGTTCTGTTTCTTAGATGTGACCACGTAATACACAATAAAACTAGTTTTATAATAGATATATAACGCTGTGTAAAATACTTGCATAAGAGTTGTGTACCCTTTTTATAGAACTTCTATACTACTAAACGGTTGTATAAAAATGGGCCTTTTTGCTTGTAAAGCCAACGGTCTTACGGTCTTATAGCACGTTATATGAATTGAGGTATCCTATAAAAATGATCACATAGCTGTTTCTACTGCCTTTATAAAATAAAATTTGCTGCTTGGGTTTGGAAAAGTGTAAACGGGATTAACCATTTTAGAGCAAGCAAAACTTATTATGAAGTTATTTTTATTATTGATATTTTTCTCAAAATGACATTAATAAAAATGTGTATTTTGTAAAAACCACCTGGAGACATACTGCATGCACACTCTGGAGACATATAGGGTGTTCCAGGCTGAGCGTGCATTAGAAGTTTCGAGAGAACTACAACGTAACGTTTCTAGAGAATTACAAATCGAACATCTAGGTCGGCGATTTTTTGCAGATCATTGTTTTGCAACGAAATCTATGGATTAAAAATATTTTCAATATGGCGGCACTTCCGGAAATACTGGAAGTTGACAGCAACTTTCTTATTTTAAGTAGGTACCCTCATTTTTTATTACATACTTAAATTCTCTGTAAAATTTTATGAAATTTGATATGAACACTCTATACTTAACATTAACCGTTTTTGAGAAAAAAAAAACATTTAAAGTTTTTGGACGAAAAAAACTACCTGTCAAAAAAATGTCTACAGCCTACTGCATAAAGGGGAAATTTAGTGATTACCAAAATCACTGCTACATAAAGAGAAGACATGCGGCTATTTTAAATATTAAATTGTTTGAATGTCATAGAATAATGACTGCAGCTGTCATGGAATTGAGCGATTAAAAAAATTATCGTAAATATTTCAAATGGAAACCCACTTTTTTATTTTATTAGTGAAAAGGTTTTTCAATTACTTTTTGCCTATACATGTTCCTATTACCTAAAATAAATCGTTTTTAAGTTATTTAAGATTTTGTTTTAAAGGGTATATTTTTCTTGATTTTAACCAGCAAGTGATGTAAAACAAAAGATCTGTTCATTGTGTTTATGAAGATAATACCTAGTGACTTCTTCTTTCAGTGCCTATCCTCTATGGATGTTGGCAATCATGTTGGTCCACATAATCCTATTGACAGCCGCCCTGAATAGATGTACTTTCGTCATTCCCGTCCACCGTCTAATATTTTTCAGCCGTGATGTTCGTCGGCGTCCCTGACCTCTTCTACTATCTATTTTGCCCTGTAGTATCAGATGGATAGGTTGGAATTTATCATTACGCATCACATGCCCAAGGTATGCCATTTTTCTCACTTTCACACTATGTTATATTTCTAGTTCCTTTTGCATTCTCTGGATCACGGTGTTGTTTGTGACATGGTAAGTGTATGAGATCCTGAGCATGCGGCGATAGCACCACATTTCAAAGGCTTTCAAGCGTCTAGATGTAGCATCTGTCAGGGTCCAAGCTCTATATAGGAGTGTGGAGAATACGTAGCACCTTAGGACCTGTGTTCTTATAGCAATATTCAGGTGCATATTGCATAGGATTTTTCTAAGACGGTTAAAAACGGTTCTGGCTTTTTCTATGCGGCATCTGACCTCTCGTGAGTGATCCCATTCCTTGTTCAAGCTGCAGCCCAAATACATGATTGTATCTGCTGTTTCCAAGGTTTCGTTATTCGCCCTAAACTGGTGGTACTGCGCCTCATCATTTTTACTAACTACTAGAATTTTGGTCTTCTTGCAGTTAAGCCTCATACCATACATATCACATGCCTCTACTACTCGGTCTAATAATTTCTGCAATCCCTCAGCACTATCTGCTATGAGAACTGTATCGTCCGCGTACCTTAAATTATTGATGGTTTCTCCATTGATCTTAATTCCTTCTTCTGTTTCACTGAGCACTTGTCTAAACAATATTTCGGAGTACGTGTTAAACAGAATTGGTGACAGTATGCATCCCTGACGCACTCCCCGACTCACTGTAAATTCTTGGGAGGTTTCGTTGTCTAACGCACGGTCGCTCTCTGGTGCAGATACAAATTTGCTATAAGGCGAAAGTCTTTGTCGTCGATACCATATTCCATTAATATTTCAAATAATTTGTGATGTTGCACCCTATCAAACGCCTTCTCGAAGTCGATAAAACAAGCGTAGACATCGCAGTTCACGTCTCTGGCCCTCTGTATCAGGACCTGTATAGAAAATAGGGCTTCTCGCGTTCCCATTCCACTTCTGAATCCAAACTGAACTTTGCTCATGTTTTCTTCAAGCTTTCTATATATGCGAGAGAGTGAATGATATTAAGTAGGATTTTCAATGCATGGCTCATCAAGCTTATAATTCGGTAGTCAGAGCACCTAGTAGCATTTGCTCTCTTAGGAACGGGAATAAACGTGGAAATCAGCCAGTCGCTAGGCAATTCTCCTGTTTCGTATATTTTATTGAGTAGCTTTGTCAGAAGTTTAAGTTGGTTGTCTTCCAACAGCTTCAGTATTTCGGCTTGAACGTTGTCTGGTCCAGTTGCTTTGTTATTTTTTAGCCGTGTTATTGGGTGCCGTACCTCATCTAGTGTTATTTATGGACCTGAATCAGCATGGACAATGGTTTCCGCCTGTTGCTCCTCATCAAACAGCTCTCCCATGTATTCTCTCCACCTTTCAAGTATTCCTCCGGTGTCAGTTATAAAACCACCTTGTTTATAAGACCACCTTGTGTAATACCAAGTTACTGCTGCGTGAGCTAGTCCTTCCCGTCATGGTCTTGATTTTCTTGTGCAGGTTGAAGGTGTCATGTTTTTGTTCCAAGGCTTCAATCTCCCTACATTGGATCTGTAACCATTGTTCCTTTGTTTCTTTGATCTTTTTGTTGATTTTGTTGTTTATTTTCTTTTTTGTTCTTTATTCCTGTGTTTTCGTCGTTCCTCCATAAGATCCAAGATTTCTTCTGTCATCCATGGCTGTTTTTTTAAACCTTTTTCAGGTTTAAGCATA